AAGTGATCGCACTCTTGTTTGGCAACTACTTTCTCAAGAATTTTAGATAAGAAAGGAAGACTGGATATAGGTCTACAATTGACCAAGACAAAAGGGTCAAGAGACGGTTTCTTAAGTAAAGGTTTAATTACAGCAACCTTAAAAGCATTTGGTACATATCCCTGCAACAGAGATACATTAATCACATCTTAAATGGAGGAGGAGATCAAAGGGAATACCTCCTTAAATATTCTGGTTGAACTGGATCTAACATACAAGTTGAAGGCTTAGATGAAGACAATAGTTTTGCTTACTCTGAAAGTTCAACTGGATCAAAGCAGTCTAAACCCGGTTCAGATTCCATGACTACCTCAGATGCTGCCCCACCCTCCAGAGACAAATCAATCGTAGATAAAGAAGTGCTAATGATCTTATTAAAAATAAGATCAATCTTATTTATAAAGAATCCCATAAAATCATTACTGCTAAGAGCAGATGGAATGGATTGTTCAACAGAGCTATGGCTCTGGGTGAGTTTGGCAACTGGATTAAAAAGATATAGGAATATTCTTATTGTCCTCCATTAATGAGGAGAAATATGCTGCTCTTGCTTTACAAAGGGTCCTCTTACATAGCAGTAAACAATTTTTCCAGACTAGGTAGGATTCCCCGTAGGCCTGTGGAGCGATATTTTCTCTCCAGTTTCCTAGCATTTTGCCTCAAAGTGCGCAGCTCTACATTAAGCCAGTGAGCCAGTTTCTTTTTTTTTTTTTTTTAGTTTTTCTTTTTCAAAGGGCCTGAGCTTTCCAAGGCAGTACGCAGAGAACTGGTAATCCCATCAACAAATATCATCCATTACACCTTTAATATAAATGTGTGAATTCCTTTCAATCAATTTTTTAGAATAAATTGCAGCAAAACGTAGAATTGAAATGGTTTTTGATGTGTGAATCACAAAATATAATTTGTGTATTTCTACTACATAATCTCAAAAGTTGTCACTTTAGTTTTTCAAGAGTTACTGAGTAAAAGACATACAGAAATTACATTTCCGTTTCTCTCTGTTACGGTACTTGAAATTTAGCTATAATACACCAAACCTTTTGACTCAAATACACCTAAAAATTAAATTCACGGACATACAACCTAGCGTCATACAACAATGTATATTTGGATTTATTACTATTAATAAGCTTTTCCTTGGTTCTGGGAATTGGTGCCTGCAATATTTAACAATTCCCCTCCTCTTTTGTTTATTCAGTGTTGATAAATTTTCCATGACTGTATACTTTATGCCAAAAACCGTTATCCTAACAAAGTCTATAGTCGCCATAGTGTTCCACTTGATTTATGTTTATTTATATTATAATTATGCAGGGAGTATTACATTTACATTACATTTTTATAATGAATCTAGAAACCTAAATCTAATTTGAGCGACAGAGGGAAAATGTTGCATTTAATATGAATATGTTGACTTTTTTTTACAGGTGGGCCAATAAAAAATACGAGGGCATAATTTCTAAAAGTAAACAGATTCGGTTGGAACATCCTTCTGTTTACCAGCTGACAACAAAGAAAGAGCAGCATGAAAACCTGACCAGAGTGATGTTTGGTGAAAGAAATTTAAACAAGACAAACAGAACCATCTTACTTGTTGGGGAAACAGGAACAGGAAAATCTACTCTGATTGATGCTTTGCTAAATTATGCCATTGGAGTGAAGTTTGAGGAGGAAATCTGGTTTCAGATTGTGGAGGAGGAGAGAGGATGTCAGATAGAAAGTCAGACATCAGATGTAATCGTATATCAGATCTATGGTTTTGAAGATAAAACTCTGCCATACTCTCTGACCATTGTTGATACTCCTGGATACGGAGACACCCGAAACCAAGAACTTGATGCCAAAGTTGCAGCAAAATTACTGAGCTTGTTTGGACAAGCAAATTGTGTTAATGAGATCAATGCAGTGGGTCTGGTAATGAAGGCCAGTGATAACAGACTGACTGACCGTCTGATGTACGTCTTAAATTCAGTGATGTCTCTGTTTGGAAAAGACCTGGAGGAAAATATAGTAGCTCTCATCACTCACTCTGATGGAAGAAAACCTCAAAATGCTCTTCAGGCTCTGAAAGCAGCAAATATTAAATGTTCCAAAAATAACTTTACCCACTTTCTCTTCAACAACTGCCAGCATGAAGACAGATCTAATGACAGAGAATTTCTGGAACGTGCCAAACAAGTGTCAGTCAACGGCTTGAGAGAGTTCACAGTTTTTCTGGAAAAAACTGCCCCTAAGAAGGTTCAGACAACTATGGAAGTTTTGGAAGCACGAATCAGACTGACGGCCTGCATCGAAAACCTGCAGGAAAGAATCAAGCTGACTGAACTAAAGGAGAAGGAAATTACACAGCTTGAAGGTGTTCTGAGAGAAAATCAAGAGGAGATAAAGAAGAATGAGAACTTCATTATAGAAATTGAGGAGGTCTACAAAGATAAAGAACAATTTGTGGGTGAAGATAAGTTTTATCTATTTCTTGAACAAGTTGTCAACTGTTCTGTCTGTAAGGAGAACTGTCATGTTGAATGCGCTCTGGCCTTTAGCCCACAATTCTGTAAGATTATGCAGAATGGGCGCTGCACAGTTTGTACCAATAAGTGTCCTGCATCAGATCATGTCAAAGAAAGCAAGAAATATGTGACAAAAACAAGGAAAGTTGCAACTACAATAAAATATGTAAAGAAAAAATATGATACATCTAAATACAGGCATGACACAATTTTAAATATTCTTGAATGTTGTAGAAAAGAATACATGGAACTGACAGACGGCAAGTTATTGCTCATTGATGAAGCCTACGAACACATGATCAAACTTGAGGAGATTGCTTTGAATGTTGAATCCATGTCCACTCTTGTGCATTTGGACTTCTTAATTGAAAAGATGAACGAAATAGGAGAAAGAGAGAAGGTCAGGAGACTAGAAAAGATAAGGCACCCTGATGATGAAGTAACTAGAGTTGCACTGCGGTATGCACCTTTCTAATCAAGACTACATACAGTACTAAAGAACTTCTGTTACCGTACATACCTCTAGGTTTGAAGGTAGAAAAACGTAATTAATGTTAAATAAAGAGGACCACGTGTTTAAAGTGACTATTCCTTTCATCCTGGGTGACAAATTAAAGTGATTTTGATGCATTTTACTTTTAATTTCTTTCTTATTGCCCCTTTATGCTAAATAAAAAGGGGGTTAATGATAAGCTTAATTACTTCAACAGTTATAATAACAGTGAAACAGAAATTTTGTACAATAATGGGAATTCAGTTAATAATATATATTATTTGATTACCTGCTTATTTCCTGAGTTTGCCTATATTCAAATAATTAATAGTTTTTAATGCTCATGGCTTTTTTTTAAAGAAGTTAAATACTTCACAGAATACAAGATAGTAAATAGCAGAAGTGAAGAATTTGGTTTCAACTTTTGGTTACAGAGCAGCTTCTCCTGTCCCTTCTCTGAAAAGGGGAATGTTTATGGAGCTAATTAGTCACAGCTTACCCTGAAACTCTTTGTCAATGCAAAATTGAATATTGTAAAATCAAGCATTTAATTTATTGTGAGAAAATTATAACTACAAACAGAAAGAGAGACATTGAGATAGAATCGTGATTAATTTGATGCTTCAACTTAATATTCATTCAGACGAGTATTTGCCCTCTGGAGGGCAAACCCCTGGATCCCAACAGTATCACTTCTGAGAATCTGAAAGCTGGTGCTGTGGATGGAGTTAAAATAAAGGGTCCTTGATGGTCTTGTGGTCTTATCACTTTTTCTGATATTTTTGTAATTTTTGCTATTACAGCAACAAAGTATTCAATACATTGTCATATTTTTTGATGGCAAATCAATTCTCTATGCCATATCCACGAATGGAGCAAGTTACTGTTACATTTTCTAAAGTATTTATGGATAAGTGGTTCTGTGTTCCATTTTTTTTTCTCTGAACTGATGTTGCTTGCATGCTTGGTGTGAGGGATTGCTACAGCGTTAACGACATAATGCAAGAGAATGACAACTGTCACTTTGTTTATGTCAAGGAAGAGAAAATCCTGCAAAGTCAATCACTCTGCCGGGTCTATCTAGATATAAAACTTTTACTAATCTGTCTGGATGATTTGAGTAAATTGTCTATGTAAGGTTCTTTTGAGATGAGATGTGTTGTAAACTAGTAAATAAACTGAAGTAAACTCTGTAATTGAAAGCTTTCAATGATTTCATTATGCACATGCTCTACACACACCAACATGGGCTGCTTCCTGTCTAGTTACCTAAATGAAACAGTAATATGTAAATGTAAATAGACCACCAACAGTGGCACTCATTCACAGTTTTAATGTTGAGGAAATATGTAAGGCAGAACATTTCTCTGAGAAAGCTCTCTGCTCCTCACACACTGCTGTTGAGTATGGACTGTTTGTACACAGCCCCTGTGTGCCTCTAGCTGCACCATCACAGAGCCACTTATGGTGGAGAAACCCAGTGTGTAAAGCTGAGTTCATTTGGCAAAAGTTTGAAGTGAATGTCATAAATGCAGATTTTGTTTGGATGAGAGGAAGGGAAAAATTTTGGAAAAATATTGAAAAGTTTGGTTTAGCGCAAATTTACACTGAGAATTGCTAGTCAATGTCATCTCTCTATTAAGTTTTCTTTATGGCTTAGTTGTGCAAATATTGCATTATTATAAGAGAAAAAAATCAAATAAGACTAAATATAAACATATATGTAAACTTCAGCTTGATTAGTCTTCTTGATTGAAGAAAGATTGAAAAAACATGCAAAAGTAGTTAATGGCTGAATAATAAATCAAATAATTTTCCTACTTTAGCTTATTTAAAAGGTATAGAGCACGATATTTTATTTCCAGGTGGATCATCTAAATCAGTGGCCCTCCTAACAGTCAGTCATTCTGGTGATGTGTTTACGTAAGGCCGTCCTATGCGCTCGTCCCGTTAGCTAGCTTTTTCTGTGCACTTCAGGCGTATATCTGTGGTGAGCTACGGTTTCAGAGAGTTATTGAAGCTCACCTTTCTCACCGCGGTTTTTTGAAAATGGCCGAGGGTCGTAAGAGAAAAAGTGTCTACGAAGTGCATGAGAAGAAAAGAAAGACCTCAGAAGAGGCAGATATATCCCAGAATGCTTTGAGTGGAGAGCTCACCTCGCAAAGAATTAAAAACATTACATACGTGCCCCAGTAAATGGGGTCTGGCGACGCCGATGGATGCAGCCAATACGCACATGATCAGTCTGGCTTAACTGCAGAGATCTACAGCTGAGGTTGGAGACTCTGTCCATAGAAAAACAATCAGCCATAGACTTCACACATCTGGCCTTAATGAAAGAAAGCTATTTGTGAAAGAGCTTTATAGAAAGTCTTGGTTAAAGTTTGCTACAAGACACCTGTAAATGTCCTTATAAATATTTCTGTCTTAAATCCAAAGTGTTTATTTTGCTCCAGCAGTAATACAGCCCATGCTTTTATTGTGAAAGGCCCAGAGCAGGAAAGTGAGGTGCATAGATTGTCGCAGTGTGTACAGCAGTGGTGTGAACACTGACGGGCAGAGAGAAGCTGTGTTCTAAAGTTAAAAAGAGAAAGGGCATATTGTCACGGAGTAATTTTGATTTGCAAAGGGTCCTTAGCACCTGGTTGATGAGGGAACAAGGTTTGTATCAGTGTTTGCTTTTTGAATTCATATTTTGTCATATTTCACGGAGCTTACAGGTTGCTGCTAGGTTAGATTTGTTGTAGTTACATTTTCTTTGTCCACCAGACAGTTCTCTGTTAAGTTTGCAATATGCAACACAAATGTTTGTGAATAGTAATATTGCATACTATGTGAAGTCACAGATGGCTACATTATTATGCATTTTCTTCTATTTCATGGTACGAGGCATTATACAATACTATGCTAAAGGGTTTAATAAATATACATGGCAAAATATGGTGATAGCAGAAAAGGTAAGGATTGTCCAGATTAAAAAGGTTGTAATAATTTAAGGTTAAAAATGATTCATTGATGACGTAAAAAAAGGTTAAAGTCAACATACTGTGTTACTAATGTGGATTGTATTTGTGTATTTTGTGGCTCTTATGGTGTGTTCAAAAGCAAGGCTATTCAATAAAAAGGAATTGTGAACCATCAGTTTGAGAGACCATCTTTTCAAACCGGACGCTACACCAACTGGGAGACACAGTAAACATGTAGAAGGAGCTCCGGTCAGATGGAACCAAAATCTGACTTTTTGGCCACAATGCAAAATGTTATGTTTGGTATAAAAGCAACACAGCTCATCACCTTGAAAACACCATCCCCACTATCCAATATAGTGGTGGCAGCATCATGGTTTGGGCCTGCTTTTCTTCAGGAGGAAAAGGGAAGAATCTAAGAAATCTATGGAAATAACTGAAAGCTGCTGTTCACAAACGCTCTCCATCCAACCTCACTGAACTCAAGCTGTTCTGCCAGGAAGAATGACAAAAGTCTCTTGATGTCTCCAAGTACTAAACTTGAGGGGGCTGAATCATTTTGCACACCCAATTTTTCAGTTTATTTGTTAAAAAAGTTTAAAATGTCCAATTTTGTTCCACTTCATAATTTTGTTCAACTTTTTGTTGGTTCTCACAAAGAATTACCATTTTATATATGTATGTTTAAAGCTGGACTGCACAGTGGAGCAGTGGGTGGCACTGCTGCCTTGCTGTAAGAAGGTTCCGACTTCGATTTCGGGGTCTTTCTGCATGGAGATGGCATGTTTTCCTAGCCTGACGTAGTCCTACTCAATTCTAGTCAGAATCTGAGTCTGATACTGCTCCATAGAGCTGTGATTATGGGGCGTGTTTCGAACGAACCAGGAAAAAAAATGCCTCTGCACTCAATTGGATAGACCTACAACCAATAAGAGCAATGGAGTGCGTGACGTATGTTAAGCGACGCATAGTTGTCCACAAAAATCAAAGCGTGCAGTTGCACGCCTATAATAAGAAGATGAGCCTTGATCGCGTTTCTCTGTTCCTCTTTTAAAATTAATTTGCTGTCGTTATCTTCTAGAACAGACCTAATAGCAGAATCTACTCACCTAAACTCTCCAGCGGCAGCCATTGTTGTTGTCACCCAAGCGCGCTTTGGTCACGTGGTTGATTACGTTACTCTTGATCATCTGTCCATCATCGTATAAAGCCCGCCCTGACAATTTGATTGGATCGCCTGACAGTGGGCGATAATACTCGCGCTACTATGGAGCAGAGCCAGACCGAACTTCCCCGACCTCAAACTTTGTGGGCGGGACTAAGTTCGGAATGGCACCCAGGCTAATGTTTTCCCTGTTTACAAAAAAAATGCCATTTTCTTTGGTTTTGACTCATAATTATGACTTTTTAATGTCCAATGTCTACACCTTGGGTCCCGCCTGGTGTGGTAGATCTGGACCATCTGGACCATATTTAGAAGTTTTGTTTGTTGAGGTTTTGAGTATAGATAAATTGGAACTAGAAAGGCACTCAAATAGCGCAGACCTCTACTAAGCAACTTGTTTCCCACTCATATTGTAAAATATACCTCAAAACTATAATTACTGCGTCAATTTCGTCAACATCATTTGATTCATTGGTAATAAGGATATACCCATACCATATGAAATTATGTTTGTACTATTACTTTACTAGATATTAAAGGCAGTATTATTTTGTTATTTCTATACCATTATTTATACCATAGGTGATATTTGTTTCATGATAATTCACAAGGTTTATTGATACAAATCTACACTATTGCCTATAACACTTGGATTCAGTCTTTTTTATACTAGAAATGGTGGCAAAACTTAAACTGGTATGCTGATGACGATTCTCAGCCATCCAGGTCATAGTCATTCCTTAAAAGTTTAACAACAATCCACTCGTCTTAATTACCAAGGTTTGAAGACATTTCGCTTCCCCTCCAGGAAGCTTTCTCAATTCGAATTGAGAAAGCTTCCTGGAGGTGAAGTCCAGTGGAATTTTTTTTAAACTTCCGTATTAACCAGCCTTCGCACCAATCATCAGTGCCAGATTATTTCCGGGCCCTTGGTGAGAAGTTTTGTAGAATTACTGTATTCTGATTACCTGATCCTGACCCATTCTGCCTCTGGACCTTCTGATCTGTTTGGCTGACCTGTCTCGGACACCTGACGGATCTCGTTATGTCTGTGAACCGAACCTGAAACTGTTACAGGGCTCTGTTCTAGATTCCTTCAGCATCTCTGATCTCCTCGCTGTGACCCTTGAGCATGTCAATGACACCAGACACCATGTCAATGACACCAGACACCACCGCGGAGCCCACGTGTTTTGCAGCCGACAGGCTGGAACCAACCTCATTATCTGGACTATAAGAGCAAGCTATGACTCACACGTCCATTGTCATCCTCCACCAGATAGACTTGGTCACTAACCTGTTGTCTCATCCTGCAGAGGTTCCTGCCTTAGAGGCCAACACTGTTCACTGCAGTTCAATTTCCAATAAACGTTTTGAGAAATCTGTTTGTCCGCCTTGAATACTGGATCCTATTCTGAGCATGACAAAAGGTGGCCTAATGAGTTGCAAATTACCCCAGCAGCTCTGGTGGTCAATCAGAGCAGAGGCGATTTTAACATGGGTTTCTTGATGAGACTTCTGACCCAGGAAGACATGGGTCAGTGTCACCCTGCCACTAAAAGTCAATTGTTCCCGGCTTCAAACTGTTTTTTCAGCCAGTGTGAAAGGCTTTAAAGAATAAAAAGGAAAAAAAGAAATGCATTTTGGCAACAAAACATTCTGAAGTGTTGTTTTGGAACTGAAAAGAAACAAAACAAATCTTTTTAGTCTTTAAGCCGTAAATGTTCTTTCTTTTGTCAATATGAATAGTAACGTCTTTGTTGGATTTTGTTAACTTGTTTATTGTTTGAAGTTGTAGGTATATCAGGTGCTTATAAACATCAGTGTTAAAACTACAGATTGCTCTACTATGTGCCATTGTATTAACTAATGCAATGTACTATTACAACTAATGTGAATAGCGATTTATCACGTCCTTCCTTTTTTACAGGATCAGTGGTATGACTTCAGAAGTTACCATCACCTCTTCAGGATGTCCTGCAGTCCTGCTGTTCAAGACAAAGAAAGAAAGGTTTTCTAGATGGACAAGAGTGACTTTAGGGAACAAGCATGAAAGGCAAAGAAATAAAACCATCTTACTGGTTGGTGAAACAGGAGCAGGAAAATCGACCTTAGTCAACACTTTGGTTAACTATGCAATAGGAGTGATGTTTGAGGATGATGTTTGGTTTCAGATTGTAGAAGAGGAGGAGGGAAGATGTCAAACTGAGACTCAGACATCAGATGTGATTGTCTATCAGATCTTTGATTTTAAAGGTCAAATTCTGTCCTCGTCTCTTACCATTATTGACACTCCTGGATTCGGATACATGAGAGGACTGCAGCATGATGAAGTCAGTCAAATACTATTAGAATTGTTTCGATCAGAGGAAGTTCATGAGATCAATGCAGTGGGTCTGGTGATGAAGGCCACTGATAATAGTCTAAGTGACCGACTGATGTACGTCTTAAATTCAGCGATGTCTCTGTTTGGAAAAGACCTGGAGGAAAACATAGTAGCTCTCATCACTCACTCTGATGGAAGAAATCCCAGAAATGCTCTTCAGGCTCTGGAAGCAGCAAATATTAAATCCTCTAACCGTGAGTTTATTTATTTTGTGTTTAACAATTGCCAACATGAGGACAGAGCAAAAAACCGAGAACTTTTGGAAATTGCCTATCAAACATCACTAAAGGGATTCAAAGAGTTCATGTTGTTTCTGGATGAAACCAAACCTCAGAAACTGAAGACAACTGTGGAGGTTCTGAAGGAACGCACCCAACTGACAGCCTGCATCCAGAACCTGCAGCAGAGAATCAAGGAGATTGAACTGAAGCAGAATGAAATCCAAAAGATCAAAGAGGCTTATAATAAATATCAAGAGCAAATGAAGGAGAATGAAGACTTCTCTATAGAAGTAGATGATGTCTACAAGAAAAAAAAAAGTATCAGAGGAGGAATGTGGTTGTTGGTGTTTTATGAAGGAGCCCTCACCTGTTCTGTCTGTGAGGAGAACTGTCACTATCCTGGATGCACAATAGCCTGGAGCCCAGGACGCTGTCAGGTCATGAAGGATGGGCGCTGCACAGTTTGTACCAACAAGTGTCCTGCATCAGATCATGTGAAAGAAAACTGGAGATATAAAATAAAGACAAGAAAACTTCAGAAGACCCTGGAGGATGTGAAGGAGAAATATGAAAAGAATAAAGCTGAATGTGAGAAAAAGTTGACTCTTTTGGAAAACCTTGAGAAGGAAAATGACAACCTGACTTCAAAATGGTCGTTGCTGCTGGATGAGGCCTACAGTCATGTTATCAGACTGGAAAAGATCGCCCTGAAAGTTGAATCAGTGTCAACTTTGGTCCATTTGGACTTCCTGATGGAAAAGATGAGGGAAAAAGGAGACCAGGAGAAAGTCAAGAAACTGGAAGAGATGAAAAGCAGAGTGAACGAAGGAACCAACACAGCACTAAGATATGCAAAAAACTCATAATCAGAATAAGATTTGGTACATCAGCTAGCCAGCGAGCTAGCCAACTAACAGCTACAGTAATTATTCTGCACCAGGCAGGAACATGCTGCAGAGCATCAAGTCAGTGCTGGATGATTAATGTTGTTGGTCGCTCTCAGCCTCCTGTCATGTCTTTGAGTTTACTCCTGTTATTAGCTAGATTTGTTTTTTATCTCCTCATCTTGATGATTGCGTTTTCCCTGTTGTCTGCTTTCATATTTATCTCAACTGACTACCTGAAGAATTTTTCTGCTGTGTCATTCCCCCTGGTTTCTACCTGTGTGCCCGCTCCTCTGTCTGAATTCGCACTGATCTCTGGAATTTTCATCACTTCACACTGTGAAGTGATGAAGTCACACTGTTTTCTTATCACATCCACTGCCAACCAGGCTGAAAACAGACAGACTTATTGGTAATGCTTACTTTTAAAGTACATGAATAATCATGTAATAACATGGTAATAATATAACAAGTTACAGTACATTACTAGGTAACAATAACCTTTTTATTAGATAATTACCCCAAAATGAAGGTATATAATTCCAAAGCAATTATTACAATTGTATAATACTATGTAACAGTGGAGAATTTTGGTGAGTAATTACCATCAGGTTACCACATAACACTTTCTATTATTTGCCCTCCAACTACCAATGGATTACAAAGTAATTTGTAACTTATAATCAGGCAAGTGCTTTGCTTTAAATTTTTGGCACACAACGTAAAGTCAGACTGCTTAGATGTCAAACAGTTATTACCAGGTAATTTCATTAATTCATTTAACCAAAATCAATGAACGATTGTTATTATCTTGGAAAATGGAGTTAATTTCTTATTATATAACAGAAAACCAAACGTAGAAGACAGGAAGCCAATCTTCATAACTAAACTGTTAGTTATATGTAACTTGAGTTCAGTTTTATAAAGTTACCTGGTTTTTTCTAGATGACTGGCAAAATTAGCACATTTTACCAGATGAAATTGAGTAAATTGCTTGGTAAATACTATGAAATTAGACTGTAAAATCAATCAAGCCTTTCTTTCTTTGGTATTGAAGTATTATTGCTTACTAATTTATATTATTTAGAATGTTTTTTAACTCTTGAATACTAACAAAACTAATATTAATATTACCAAGTAAAACACATATAATTAATTGCTAAGTATTTAGAATATGAACTGTAAAAGAAAGCCACCACTTTTTATGGAACTATTACCACGTAAAATATTTGGTTTGTGCTGTTTTACTCATTCTCTTCATAGAGAAACTCCAGTACATAAGTGCATTTTTATTACCAAGTAAAAAACTTTAAATTACATGGTTAATAATTGGAATCTGTAGTGTAAAAGAAAGCCAATCATGTTTGATATATTTCAACCCTTTATTAATGTGTAACATTTTGGTTTTTCCCCTTTACTATCAGCAATAAAGAACTTTCTTAGTACCAAGAAAAAACATTTAATCTATCATTAAGTAATAGAAGTTTGTACTATAAAGGAGAGTCTTATTGGGATTTGGATCAAATTGGTTTATTTTACCTTGAACTGTCTATCCAAAAAAATAAAGAAATGACACAGTTGTTTAGAAATATCCACCAATTTAAATGTGTAGTGATTATCCAGAAATTTTCACTGAGGTTATTTCCTGTTTTGTGGTTGTGTCCGACCTTTCAGACATTTCAGCATCTTTTTCTGAATCCCACATTGTAGCATGGCATAGACAATTCACGTTTGCAGTTTGAAGAACACCTGCTTGCTTCTGATGATTTCCTTTAGCTAACCAATGAGTGTTTGCGTTATATAACTCATCCAATCACACTAGTTTTCACTAGATGTGGGTGGAGCCAATGATCTGCATTGGATGGAGCACATTACGGGAAATAAATATTTATAAACATTAAATCAGGGGTAACCAATTAAAAATCAGCGGGTCTGAATAAAGAAAATCATCAACCAGTAAAGGTCCGGAGACATTTTTAATTATAATCTGATACTTTAAACTGAATTTAACACTGAAATTAAATGATATGTTTATGCATCCATGTTATGGATTGAATTTTTAAATAAAAAAATATTTTTTAAAAATTACATTTTAAAATCTTAAGTGTTTTTTGAAGCAGAGAACCGCAATCTTTCAGTTTGCTGTATAGACAATTTCCTGATTCACATATTTTATCAAACACCTGAACTGACCGTTTGTTATTTTCTTTCTTTTTTCTGTCTTAATGTTGGCAGTGGGCTTTAGGCTGCCCTGCAAGGCTTTAAACCTGGGTTTAACCGGAGACTAAGCCATTCTCAAGCACATATCAAGGAGCTCATTTTGAGCCTGGATCCAGATTTATTGTTGATTCTGTTCATGGTGGAGAATCCTGCTTCACAGCAGCAGGTTGAGCCAAACATACTCCTACGAATTTAATGATAATATCGTGCATACTCTCCTCGAGCTCCGAGGATAAGTCGAAGTGCAGCAATACGGGAGGAACAGCGGAGGCTGTGGGCTTTGCTTTGTGCAGGAGGTCTGGATGCTGCAGAGGATGTGGGATTTTGTAACAGGAGAAGCGGCGCAAGTGACGTTTAGACACTGTCAACAGACAACATGTGGTAATTTATAAATGTTTTAAATCAGGTTGGGTCCGGATTAACCGGCAGGTGGGTCCGGATCCGGGCCGCGCTTCAGTAATGTCAGGTACCCTATTGGACAAACCTTTCGACAAACATGAATATTTTCAGAACTTTGTCTATAGGTTCTATAAGTTGTGAAATCATGCAGAAAAAACGGCCCTCAGTCTTGTGATGACATAATTTATGTAATGTCTTGTTGCAACATATTATTAGTCTTCATGTCTGTAAACTACAGAATACAGTGAAAACAAACCTGGCTCTTAAAGATATTTTGTGTTTATTTTTCACTTAATTCAGACCATCAAAAATATTAATATTGAGACATCAATTTTTTTAAATAATCCTTTAATCTATGATATAGTTTAATCTCCTGCCACCCAGCCTGATACCTGCAGTACCTCATCAAGAAATTAGCTGAGAAATAGCCTCTTTTCTCTGTTACAATTTCTAAGATTCAAGCAGACCTAAAAAGAAGCAAAAAAAGGGTGAACATTGTTCACTCTGGACCATTTTTGTTGACTTTAGGTAGCAAAAGGAGTCAAGAAGCCAAGTAAAGAATGCTACTTTCATGGGCCGATTTTGTTGTGTGTTATAGTCCATATTTTGCTTATTTAAGCTTTGAGTTTTAGGACCTTTAAACGTGTTGTGAACTAATGTGTTTTCACTGTTTTTGCACCTTTGGCCACCATTGTTTTCACAGTGCTTTAAGACTTATGGAGCCTAGGCGGAAGTTCAACTGAATAAACTGATCGCTCTCCTACGTCCACCTGCAACACAACCAATCAGCTTTGAACCACACCTCCATGAAATCCAACAGGAATCCAAAGTTCATCTGAAAATGTCATGGTCCTGGTCTGGTTGTTCCTGTTTTCCTTAGTTATCCATTTGTTGTCCTCTGCTGCCCTCTTGTGTCCTCCCTTCCTCTGTTTCTCTGTCCTGCCAAGCACCTGCTGCCAATTTCCTCGTCAGCTCTCTCTCTGTCTCTGTCCCCTTTAAAAGCCCTCCCTGTTCAGTTCCTGTTTGCTGGATCCTCGTCAAACATCCTGTCTAACTTCTGTCTGTGCTCCTTGTCTCTCCCTGGCTTCTGGTTTGGTTAATCCCTGATGTCTCCTTGGTTCTGGTACGTTTGTCATTTTCAGTTGGACTCTGATTCCTGCTTCTGGACATGAATAAACAGACTTTAATTCACCTCTGCCTACTGGCCCTGCGTCTGGGTCCTCCACACAAACAGTGACTCATGACAGAAAAGGCCTCCAATCCGCAACTCATCTTCTACCTAGTGCACAGGCGGTGGTTGTGTGACTTCATTCAGATGACCCTGTTTCAACCCACCTCCAGCCCCCCAGCCCATATGAATTATTTTTTGTATACAGTACACTGTGCATACAAAATGACATAACAGTTTGTCTAAGTCTGATAAAACCCATCAATGTATTTCAATTTATACCGTTGTCCTTTTTCTCTTTTTTATTTCATAAATTTTCTCACACCTTTTTTGGCAATGGCACTGCTAAGGTGCTCAAAAGGTGAAGTTAACCTCCTATGTTCATTAATGAATTGATCATTAACAAAAGCAGTGGGTTGATAAAGACAATCAATGACACATATTGTTAGAAGGACATCTTAATCGTTGTTGGCCACTGTTAGGTTTATTAAATAAATATTATAAAGTTAATGTGTGTGCATATGAAACAGTGAAGAAATAAGATGCTACATTCTGTCCTGTGATTCAATCAGGAGGGTCATTCTAGACTTGCCTTCAGCCAGAAGGCATTTACAGGGTCATAAACTTTTATGACCTGCCTCTCAGCCAGTTGGTCATTCTAGGGTCATAAAACCCACCCATCTGTTTCAGCTCTGTTAATAAAAGACTGCTGTTCTGATTGGGGAGCAGAAAGGTGCTGAACTGTGAGCAGCTAGGCTTTCTCATCCTGCAGGAAAAGCTCTGTTTGAAAATCCCTTTGTCCGTCAGATTCATTTTTGTCCTATATGAAATATGAACTCACAATATTTAAACCCAACAGCCACTGTGTGTGAATCAACATGAAAGGAATCTGCTGCAGCTTTAAATTCCACATCAGTGGCCAAAGTTACGTCATACTCTATTTAATTTGAGAAAATATTAATATCATGGTTTTCCCCCGGGTCCATTAATACAAGTGCAGGTAACTTAACTGAGATGGAGTGTTATAAAAAAAATTCTGGTTCGATTCACCTTTGCAAAGGGAGAGGAGCATCAGCAGCACTCTGTTCTGTAAATGTGCCCTGATACATATGAACAATAAGTTTTGCTGCAGCTTTAGCTTAGTTCTTTACTTCTTTTAGCTTAAAACATGTATATATATCTTCACCTCTTAATA